CCACCACCCCAAAGCTCAAATGTCTTTCAAAACAGGCACGTTCAGGACAATTAAAGTGTGAAGTGTTTCAGTTTTAAGATTATAAAGCTGTGATTCATGACCTTGGCTGCAAACTGGCATCATCTGGGGAGCTTTAAACATTACCAATTCGGAGGTTCGACCCGCATAATTGGGATTTAATTCCTCTGGAAGCTCTGAAGATGATTCTAACGGACAGCCAAGGTTGAGAAGTAGTGTGCAGATAACGAAACAGGGCATGGCTCACTTGAAAGCAGGGGGAAAAAATTTAAACACTAACCAATAACTGTGTTGACCAAAATCAATGTTATGACTACTTCTGCCACCAGTATGTGACCTTCCTCACGCCTCAGTATATTTCAGGTGCAAGATGAGAGAAAGATGCATATTCAAACACACGGAGACTTGATTTTAGTGGGTACTGAATTGACTAGCAGTGGAAGATTCCCCCACACAACTCTTCTGCCTCCCACCTCCTATGTATAGAACTTTCTACAAGATTGGAATTTATTCAAAGACAGTGGCTTCCCGCCTCCCTGCAACAGAATGCACAGGGGGTTAGAAGTAACCTACTTACAAGCTAAGCTCTGGAGTACAACTCATTTCTAAACTGAAGATGACCTAAATATGTTCACTTCACATATGCATACCTCCAACACCACAAGCCTAAAACTTGCCCAAGCGTATTTTTCCTAAAGTAGGTCACTCATAATGAACTCTGATCTTAATCCAAGCCAGGTCAAATAATCCCGCCTAAATGAACGAGTCTTAAGAACGGAGAGTCCGATGTTAATAAGACCAATCCTTTTAGGCGGGGGCCTGTCCTGCTCTGTAAAAGGCCATTTGTCACTGGAAAGAGGAAGTCCATCTGTCCGTCAACAGAAAACTCTCCTTGAATGCTCTCCGACATGGAACCCAAAACAGATGCAACAGAAACCAGAGGTCAGTAGTGAGTGATAATCCGTCGTGAGAAAGAGAAACTATCTTCTTCTGGTGATACTGCCCATGAATTATCACATTCTAACTGCAAGACCATAAAGCAGAAGGAAATGGCAAAAGAGAAAATGAAGAACTGGTTGCAAAATCCACGCATTTCAAAGTAGCTACGACGTGTACCTCCTTCAGCAAAACAAAATGTGCCTCTGAAGGGCCTGCTAGGACTAGTGCAGAAATCTCAGGCCCCAAAGGACACATCCTACTGTGAACTGATGCTTCTTTGATGGTCGTGAGACTCCCAAAATGTGTTACTTGACCTGATCAATCTCCATAAGGCATAATGGTAAAACTAGGCAATCCCCTCACAGACCAAAACACCAAATATTTGGAAGCAGGAGTGGTATCCATTTCCTAAACAACATGCCTCTGGAAAATGTATGAACTTTGATAAATGACAATAGGTATAGAAAGGCTACAGGCCTTTTGTTCATAGGGTTGTTATGAGTAGTACTCAACTCGAAAGCAATCAACATCACCAGCAATTACCACAACTTTCCTTTCCTCCTAAAAACCATTTGCCAGCAAATCAATTGATTTAGGGTGACCTCGTGTGTATCAGAGCAGCGCTGTACTTTACTAGGTTTTCAAAAAACAATTTTTCAGGATTAGACTGATGGTCTTCCTCTCAGGCAGGTAGGCGTGAACTAGAACCTCTAACTTTCTGTTCAGCAGGCAAGTCTGTTCAAGTCTGTTCACCACCTGTACCACGCAGGGACTCCTCCTTCCATCCCACCGCCCTCAAAGCCATCACCAAAAATAGACAAAGGTACTTAAGACTGATTTTCAAGATGAAATACTCTAAATAAAGGTCATGATTCAGAAGTCAGGACTTCACTTAACAAGTTCCAGGCAGCCCTGGCAGTTTGAGGTAATGAGTGTGGAGCACTTTTCTTTCCCCCCTTTTTAAATCTGTGTTATTTTCTTTGGTTTTCACTATACAGACGTAGTAGTGAAATCTGAGAAAACAGGAAAAAGATGCTAGGATCAATATTTCCACATGACTTTAGAATGATGTTATTTGACTGTCCCCCCTGAAGGTCACATACTTCGTGCTGAAGATACACGGATGCACATGACATTGGCCTCATGGGTTCCTAAAAAAGAGCAGGGCACAACTTCATACCCTCCACCACACACCCCTCCACTTTCCCTCAAATCTGGAAAGCCCGTAGGGACTCTTATTGTTGACTCAAAGACTATCTATGGCTTCATAAGAGAAAAATGGGCAATCTCCTTCAGCATGAAGCCTCTGAACAACTCCTGAAGGTCAGCTGTGAGTCAGTTATGACTCGCTGGCCCTGAGTTCGAGTTTGTTTCCTTTTTTACTAGACACCGCATTTCCCCCTATGTCTAACTGCACTAAACTCCACATGGCACTGACGACTGTAAATAAGAAAATTAAATAAACATTCACTCTTCTCACACCAAATGTGTATTTCAACAACATGGTAAATTTCATCCACATGAGTAAATCTCAACATTAAAGAGAGGAAAAAAAAAAAAATTAAGATTACCAAAATAGGATTTGCTATCGAAACAAGCCCAACTCACGGTATTTTCATTGCCTGCAGCTATGTAGCTTCAGAAAGCTAAAAATATTTCCCTATCTCCTAAATCGGGAAACGCAAAACAGATCCAGCAATTGCCTGGTCTTCATTTTGTTCATCGTAATTTTTTTTAAACTACCAAAACACTCAGAATAGCTGAAGCATCAAAAATGCATCTGTTTTATATTTGTATATATACACACACACAGAAAAGAGAGAAATATCCAAACAACTTGTGTCTTGCTAGTAATATAAAATAAACTAGTTACAGTATCAAAAAATTGTCAACATTTACACGATGCATAGCTTTTATTAGTATTATATTTTGGCCAGGAGTTATAAATATACTAAAAAGTAGCCCAAGTACCAGGAGGTGCTTTAAAAACTGTGCTGTCTGTGCCTTTAACACACTGACTGGGCTTATTTTGTAACCATCCATCAGTTGCTTCTGAAATTTACACTGAGATTTCAAAACAGAAAGTTGTGAGTTTGAAGTGTTTCTCCATCACCCAGTCCTGCTGTGTTCGCCGCAGTCTGACAATGCGAAAATGCTTGTTTCTCCTCATCAGTGGTAATTGGTTAACACCGGCAAACCCCTCTGTGAAAAACTAAGAGCTACTGGGGAAGCCAAACGTATCCTTTTTCCCCAAGGCATGCCTGCAGGTTAGTGAACAGTAAGCAGAGCGTCGACTCCTTGAACACATCCAGCATTCTTAAAGTCACTTTACTAAGTTAAGTGGGTAAGAAACTAGCAGTCTCCTCGGTACCATCCAACCGGGCCATCCCATTGCGCTGCTGTGCCACGGCTTAATGTGCAAAAAGCACTGTTTGAGAAATCGCTAACAAACTCCCCGTTTCTCAGGCCACTGGCCAAGTCAACTGGAAATCAAATACTTAGAAGCCAGGAGCCCGGTGCCCCTCAGAGCTTGGGCTGGCAGAGAGGTGGGAGGGCCCCTGGTGCGCCTGCCCAGGTTCCAGGTGGGCCTTTGACAAGTGTCAGAGTGTTGGGATTCAGAATGGATCGCACGCCAAAGGCGCCAGACTTGGCCAGGTAAAAGTGCCATCCATTTCACAAAACATCCCAGGAGCAGGAAACGAGAAGATGAGGCAGTCACCTCCCCAGGCATAACTGGGGGTCAGCCCTGCAGTGCCCGCCCCTGATGCACCAGGGTTGGTCAGAGGTTGGACGTGCAGTGCCAAGGGCTCCCCGAGGCCACTTCTCCCGCAGGAGCGTGCGGCGCGGGGGTTGGGGAGTCCCGATCCACGTACCTTGAAGCTGGGCGGAGAGGGACTCCTGGTGCTGCTGGTACTTGAGCGCCACCGCCTCGGCTTTCCGCAGCTGCGCCTGCAGCTCGTAGTAGAGCATCGCCCCGTAGAGGAAGGCGACCACCACGGCGAGCAGCAGCAGCGTCTGCACGACCCGCTTCTGCTTGCGCGAGCACATCCCGTTGCCCATCGTCCCGCCGGGGCCGCCTCGTCCTGCCTTCTGGCCGAGCGAGCGCGTCAGGGGGCGGCCGGGAGCAGCATTCGGGGCGCACGCGAGACGCAGCCGTGGGGCCGGAGGGGAAGGGGCCGGAGCCTCAGCCGCCGCGCGCTGCGGGGCGCGCAGTCCTCGCCGCCGCTGCCAAAGCCAAACTTTTCCGAGGCCGGCTCGCCGCGAGTGCCCGGGCCCGAGAGGGGGCCCTGCGCATACTTCCGCGCGCTGCGCCCCGACGCCGGCCTGG